GTTGCGTTCTGCGGTGGGGATTTGGTTCTCCAGAATTTTCTATGCCAGAATTTTCCAGCTTGAACCCTGAAGAAGAGGATGTCTTCTTTCAATGAATAGTTTTTACACTGTTGTTTGTCTTATCAATTCACCCCTTCATGTCAAGGAGGAAGAGAATATAGGGATATGGTAAGTTTTATTATGTCTGGTTTGTGTCATTGCATGAGGACAGAATTGGCCAAGGTTTTGAAAGGATAGATTTGTAAGGTTTGGTTGATTACTTTGGGCCATAGATAACTAGCTCTTGCATTTAGTATTCATGTGTAGTTATACCTATTTACATATACCCTCCGGTTAATCACATTTTGGAAAGTACAAATTGGTATGTAGTGAGCTTGAACTCCTGCTTTGCTAATTTAGCACAATTGAATAGAGAACCTGTTTTCATACCTCTTTCAAGTACTAGGAAGACTATTTTCAAGGTTTACTACAGTACAGTATGTTTCTGAACAAAAGCATCAGGTTTACTGCTGCTTTTTCTTCCCTACCCTAACCTATCTATTTTTAATGTACGCGGAGAGCTCACAATCCAAACGAACGCCCGCTTATTCTCAAGACACGACACAATCACTTAGTGAAATGGATGTAGAAGAATTGTATGCTAGTTTGCCTCCGGGTAAAAATTTAAAAGTGGGGCGGGAGTATCTACAAAATAGAAAGAGCAAGAGGACAAAACCTTATTGGGGAGACTTCATTGAGTATGTTGAAGGCGGGAGACTACGAGTCGAATGAAAGTACTGTGACAAAACCTATGCTGCTGATGGAAACCTTAATGGCTCAAAAAATATTAAAAAACATGCAGAATCATGTCAGAGTAATCCTACCAATGTAAATAAGGGCAAAGATAAACAAACTGAATTGCTTTTTGATAAAGAAAATGATAGTGGCAAATCAAAGTGTGGGAATGTTAACTTAAGAGAGATTAGGGAAGCATTGATTTATATGATAATTGTTGATGAGTTACCTTTTAAACATGTAGAGAAGTCGGGTTTTAAGCACTTAATGCAAGTTGCATGTCCACAATTTACTATTCCCTCTCGTGTGACCATTGCTCGTGATTGTGTAAAGCTCTACTATAGTGAGAAAGAAAGATTGAGAGAAATGTTTAAAGCTTGTCAAAGAATTTCTGTGACCACTGATACTTGGACCTCAATACAACGAATCAATTATATGTGTCTTACGGCTCATTTTATTGATAGTGAGTGGAAATTGCATAAAAAGATATCAATTTTTGTCCAATATCTAGTCATAAAGGAGAGGCTATTGGAAAAGCGTCGAGGCATGTTTAGAGCATTGGGGTATTGAGGATAAGCTTTTTATTGTCACTATTGATAATGCCTCTTCAAATGATGTTGCTTGTATGCACTTAAGTAGAATGGTTAGAAGAACCGGATGTATTAATGATGGAAAAAATCTTCATGTTAGATGCATGGCTCATATCATTAATCTAATTGTGTGGGATGGAATCAAACAACACGGTGTGTGCATTGATAGAGTTAGAAATGCCGTGAAACATGTGAAGAATTCTCCTGCTAGAATATCTAGGTTCAAAGATCTTGTGCAAAAAGCAAATATAGATTCCAAAGCTTCCTTGTCTTTTGATGTCCACACTCGTTGGAATTCTACATTCACAATGTTGGACACGGCTTTGAAATTTCAGCGTGTTTTTAGGGGGTTATCTCTTCCCGATGGAGGGGATTTGAATGATAATGAAAGACCTCCCGAAGAAGAAGATAGGAAAAAAGTACAGAGATTGACTTTGTTTTTGAAGGGGTACTATGTTTTGACTAAACGTATCTCTGGCTCTCATTATGTGACAAGTAATAAAGGTTTGAGTGAGATTGCTTCCATGTATAATATGTTGAATAAGTGGGAGAAAAGTGGGGTTTGAACTTTCAAGCTATGGCTATTGCAATGAAACAAAAGTTTGATAAGTATTGGGGGAATATGAATAAAATGAACAAGCTTATTTATGTTGCTTCTATTCTTGACCCTCATTACAAGTTCATACTTGTTGAATTGTCACTAATTGATATGCATGGAAAAGAAAAGGGTTCAAAGCTTGCCAATGAGGTGAAGGATTTCACTTACACTTTATTTGATGAATATAGAAACATGTACACTTCTTCTATTTCTCAAAGTAGCCAACAAGGAGATTCAATGCCAATAGATGTTGATGTTGATTTTGATGTTGATGATGATAGTGCCTTTGGTATAGAAGGGGGTGATTATTACATGAAAAACCTTAAAGAAGTGGCAAAAAAATTAGAGGGGACAAGTGGATATGTGATGAACGAGTTGGATAGGTTCTTACATGAACGTATAGGGCCGGAGGAAGAAGAACTAGATGCACTAACTTGGTGGGGTATTAATGGTCATCGATATTCAGTTCTCAAGTCCATGGCACGTGATATTTTAGCTGTCCCCCTGTCTACAGTGGCTTCTGAATCTGCTTTTAGTATGGGAGGTCGTACTCTAGATCCATTTCGGAGCTCTCTAACGCCTAAGGTAAAATGCTCACTTCTTATCAGCATCTGTTTTGTTACCTTGTTGATGACTATTCTGTTTCTGTTTTTTATTCTCTTTTGCAATTATTTATGTCTGCAATGTACTTATGTGTATCACTTATTTATTCAATCTGTTTTCCATGCTCTTTATTTCTAGCACAGTTAATGGTTGTTCTGAAGTCATCCTGAATGTCTGTGACAATATAAGATGGCTTCTGCATTTTGCTTGACTTGAAAATGCATGCATTAACATATTTTACAGAAAAGGAATTCAATTATTCTACTGGTTACGTGAGATGTTTAGCATTATATCTTAGCATTACAAATTTAATCTGATGTACCTCTTTCCAGTGTATTTATATATGTTTTGTTTATATATGCAATTTCTGATGTCTGATGGCTTTGCATTTTGGTCAGAAATTTACTTTTATTATTCATGGTGATATAAGTTTACTGATTTACTAAACAAAGAGTTAAACATTGTACTGAATTGTTTGAGGATGTTGTTCATGTGTTTGGGGTTTGTTTATATATGCAATGCCCAGAAATTGACATGACCCTACATGTGTATCACTCTAAACTTTAATGAGGTTGTGCTTAGTCTGCGTAAAGCGGTTGTCTCCAGAACCAAAATTCAACCTAGAAAAAAAAAAAGTTATCAATTTTGTTGGCTTGATATATTTTTCCTGGCTTGATATTTCACTTACCGTAATGTTGTCTTTGTATTAAGATGGTTCAAGCTCTTATTTGTTCACAAGATTGGTTAAGAGCAAAAGGATCGCCAATTATTGATGTGGAGGAAATTTTGAAAGAGTTAGAGGAAATCGAGTGTTATGTTATTAAGCACTTTTACTTATTTTTATTTATTATTATTACTTATTAATTATCAATACAATCTAATATAATCTATTTTCGTTTTGATTTTGATGTGAAATGTGGCGATGTAGGCAATGAAGTCGTATTTGTAGACTCGTTGGTGTGATTCGTTTGAAGCGTGTGATTGAAGGGAGATAAGGGATCAAGATCAAGCATACAATCTAATATAATCTAGTTTGGACTTTAAGTACTTTATTTGAGGGGAGGACTTTATGTAACTTTTTAAATATGTTTTATATATCTAAGTTCAAAACAGGTCCAAATTCATGTTCAAAACAGGTCTAAAAAAGGCCTTTATAAAGGATAAAAGCAAATCGGTCCAAACAGGTCCAGACCTGGACCGGACCTGAATTTTCAAGTCTGGACCGGACCCGGACCGGCAATGACAAGTCTAATATCGGTCCACGCAGTGCGGTCCAAACCGGTCCGGGTCTGAACCGGTTCAGATCCGGTCCGGTCCGGATCTGGACCGGTGTTCACCCCTAACCATATATATCTTGGCCTAGGCCGAATAGCCCTAAGGGGCCCAAAATATAATTGGAAGTGAAAACGCCCCCGAAAAAACCTACGAAAATAATTTTGGCGGGAAGAATTATTTCCCTTTGGCGGGCACTAAAAAGCCAAAAATATACAACTCCCAAACACTCTCAACTCAACTAATCAACAGACATTATGCGTTAGACTGCCTCTTTCTCGCTACATCGCTGATGATATTGTTGTGCCTAATGATTTCACATCTGAATTGGATCTATCAAAGTATCGTGCGTTGGAGTTAGGTATGTTTTACAATTATAGCTATGTTAATAGTGATAATACATCGTTTGGTTTTGATGTTCGTGTGATTGACAATCCTGTTTTTAGAACGAAGCCGTCATTTCCACATGAATATAAGGTTGTTCTATTTATGAACCCGAATTGCGAAACTGGCCATCCTAGACTTGATGATTTTATGGTTGTGGAATTGTCTAATGAGATAGCTCTTACAGTGAAAAGTGTAAAAAGTGGGGAGAAACGGAAGGTGTATTTTATTAGTCATAGGAAAATTGATGATATTGTTAGTTTTAACGTGAAGATGTTAGGCCATATAAAATATGTATAGCTACTCTAATGGGCCGTAGTTATGTTACGAGCTCTAATCTCTCTTCGTGCATACGCTAATACAGACACAACACTCTATTCTCTCTATTATCTCTATTATTGACATGGTATCGGAGCTAAAATCACTCTAAACCCTAAAAATCCTTTTTTTTTAATCTCTATTCTCTAATCATCTCTATTGATCACTACTCTAATCTCTACTCTACTCTCTAATTTACTTATAATTTTTTCCCTAATTGCTTGATTAATTGACATGGGTGAAGATGGAGAACTCGATCCTTCCTCTCCCTTCTACCTTGGCGCAGGTGACCAACCAGGGAACCTCATTACTCACATAGCCCTCAAATCGGATAATTACCTTGCTTGGTCTCGTGCAATCACCCTTTCTCTTAAATCTCGTCGCAAATATGGATTCATTGATAGTACAATTTCGAAACCCACAAAAACAAAGAAGCTTCTTGATTGGGATACAGTTAATTGATGTTAAATTCATGGCTTTTGCGTTCCATTGATCCCAAACTTGCGGCTACTATTCCCTATTTCGAGGAGGCAAAGAGACTATGGGACTACTTAGAAAAGCAATTCTCTGAAGTCAATGGTCTGGGAATTCAACAACTACGAGTTGTTATAACCTCTTGCAAGCAATCGGCCTCTATGTCGATTGAGGACTACTACACTACTTTGATGGGTCTCTATGATGATCTTCTTCTTCTTAAGCCTCTACGTTGTTGTGAGTGCGGGAAGTGCACTTGTGATGTTGCTGCTAAGTGTGAATTAGACAGAGAGGAGGAGATACTGCACCAGCTTTTAATTGGAATTGATGATAAGAAGTATGCGGTTGTGTGTACTTATCTTCTATCTCAACAGCCTCCACCGACTCTTGATCGTGCGTTTCAAGCGTTCCTTCAAGAAGAACGCTCGCGTGGAATTGCTCAGGTTCAAGCCGAGAAGATTGATGCTCATGTGTTTGCTCTTCCCTCTGATCGAAGGCTCTCACAATCGGCTACTCGTGTTGATAAGTCCAAGCTTTATTGCTTTCATTGAAATCGCACGAGACATGATAATACGGGCTGTTTTATTCTCCACGGATACCCTGATTGGTGGATTGAAAAGTACGGGAAGAAGGGGAGTTCCACATCATCTTTATGGTGTTGATAGGAAAGGTAGGGTGTGTTCGATGGATTACAATTTTATTTTTAAAAAAATAAGAAAACTATATTGATATATTTAAAACAAATTGTACAGCATTTTTGGTAAGTAGCTCAGTTGGATAGGATACTCTAGAGTTGGACAACACATCAGGGGTTCGAGTCTGGAAGGACGCATCTTAGTTATTTTTTGTTTTTTTTTTCTCCACTGCTTCTCTCGTCTTTTTTTTTCACAATTTCTTATGTATTTTAATATGGTTTCTAATTTGCACTTGCTTAAATTGTAGATTGTTAATCTTTTTTCTATTAAGTGTTAATCTGTTGTTGTCAATATGATTTTGAGTTTTTCAATTTCTTGGTTGTTAATACTACCTCCGGTCCAAATTACTCGCAACTTTGGAATATTTTATATCTCACAAATAATACCCCAAAGTTGCGAGTAATTTGGACCGGAGGTAGTATGTAGATTGTTTTGTAACTTTTGTTGTATTGTTAACATTTAAATGAATAAATGGGCAATAGATGTAGTATAAATTATTTTTTTTAATTATTGTAGTGTGTGACCATGAAAATTTATGTAATTCGTATTATTTTATGTATTGTATTTTGACATTTAATTGAAGTTATGTATTATTGTATCAGGTCATTTTATTTTGCAATTTTATTCAAATCTGGACTTATTTTATAGGGTGTTTGGTATAAACATTGTTAATGAAACGGAAAGGATTCAAATAAAAAGGGGAAAGGGTAATAATAAACGTTACCTTTACTATATGTTTGGCATTCTAGTAGAATGAAAACAATTTAAGTATATTGTGATTGAGAAATAAGGAATCATATTTTGTTTCCACTAGTTTTTCAAGGGTAGCAAATAGAGATTTTTTTACCCTTACTTTTGACCCATACCAAACAACTAGAAATGAAAACACTTAATTGAATCCGTTTCCTACATCTAAAGTTAGTACACCAAACACCCCTTGTTGTGTACTTATGTATTTGTTTGAACACTCCATTTTATACTTAAATACCCGATTTATATCCATGCACTCGGATATTGTGTGTTTGATGACATTCGAACCCTCTAGGTACAATTCTTGGATCCGCCACTGATTGGCTTTTAGTTCTAAGAAAAAATTTCATTATTGGAGCCCGAGTGTATTACAACAATTATTTTTATATCATTCAATCACGTGTTAATTGCGGAGTAGATATAATGTTTGTTATTTAATTTTACTCAAAATCAAACCAAAATAGACTCAACCTACAGTCCTACACCAGTTAATAGAGGAATATACATCACTAATCTCCAATGAAAGAAGCAAATCTACCAAAGTATTAGACTTAGCTTGCTGCTTACAAGTATTATACTTCAAACCAAAAGGTGGCTCGAAAGCCGACATGAACATAAGTCAGACAGTTGGACTAGTATTAGACGAAATTTTCGTCAGTTCGAACTGACAAAATGCAGATTTTTGATATTTTCAATTGGCGGGATGATATCCTCTATTGACTGGATGGTATCCTCTATTGGTAGGATGATATCCTCTATTGACTGGATGGTATCTTTATTGGTTGTATGATATTTCTACTGGCTAGATGATATCCTCTATTGGATGAATGATATCCTCTACTAACACGATGATATCCTTTATTGGGTGAATGATATTTCTACTAAATGGATGATATCCTCTATTGGTTGGATAATATCCTTTATTAACTATATGGCACTACAAGAAAAAGGTTAAATACTGACGAAAAATTTCCCTTGCAAAAAGGCCAATTTCCGTCGCAAACAGCATTTCTGACGGAATTCCGTTGTAACGTTCCGTCGTAAAACCTTTCGTAGGAAAAAAAAGAATTTTCGAGGGAAATTCCGTCGGAAATATCTTTTACGACGGAAATACCGACGGAATATCTTCCGTCGCTAGAAAATCTGACTTTCAGGTATCATCCGTCGCAGATTTACGACGGAATATTCCGTCGCTGAAGAATCACTTACGACGGAAAATTCCCTCGCAAAAGTTCAGAATTTGTAACGGAATTGTATTTTGTCGGAGGTTTGCGACGGAAAAATCCCTTGCAAAAAGATTATTTGCGGCGGAAAAATATTTTCCAAAAAGATTATTTGTGACGGAAAAATCCCTTGCAAAAAAATTATTTATGACGGATAAATCCCTTGCAAAAATATTGTTTTTAGACGGAAAAATCCTTCGCAATATTCCGACGGAATTTAATTCCCTCGCAAACTTTCAACTTTTGTGAGGGAAGTTTCCGTCGTTAAGGATTCTTTTAGCGACGGATTGTTCTTCATTTTTCCGTCGCAAATCAATTCCGACAAACTAAATATTAATTATTTCCGTCGTAGAGTATAATTCACAAAGCCAAAATTCTAGTTTTCCAGCATTAATAACCTATGTTCCTGTACCTAGTACCTGTGAAAGTTATAATCATAAACCAATTTCGGAAATATAAATATATATATTTCCAAAAAAGCTATTCTGAAGTTAAACATATCCAAAAGCTATATAATATATAGTAATTCTACAAAAGCGGGAAAATCATCAAACGCTACATAAATTCTAATTAACTACTTGTCCGTACTACATAAACCTAAGCTAGGCTAAAAAACTGCAGGGGTACCCTGGCTTGCTCCTCCACTACCCGGGTCATCCCTAGGGTCTCGACGCTGAGGCTGAATAGTGGAACATGTGTCGATGTTGCCAAATCGTCTCATGAAGTCATTCCACCTCTCCTCGGCTCTACTTTCCATTTGGTCCACTTCAGCTTGAATTTGAGCATGCATCTCAACTTCCATTTCACTCCGAAGTTCACTCCGTATTTCACTCCGGAGTTCATTGCGGATCTCTCTACAAAGAGCCTCCATCCTATGGTCCATCTGGTCCTACATCTGACAAACAACAGACGGTGTGTACTGTTGTGAAGACCTAGAACCTCGGCCCGTCCAGTTTCCAAAGTACAGCTCTGCACTTTGGCCAAGTCCCCTCACTCGACCCTTCTTGTTGCGACCACCCACACTCTCCCAATACAACTCATTAGGACTCTTTTTAATCCCTTGAGTGGTGGCTTCTTCAACATTCTTCTAGTAGTTCTCCTACAAGAAAGACATTATACAATAATATATATTTTAAACAATTAACCAACAACATAAGTTACAAGTAAAGAAAATAAACATATAATTGAAGACTTGAAATCACGTAAAAGAAGCAAATTTCTAAGTTTATGGGTCCATATCCACAAAATGAAGCCATTTCAAGCCAAAATGGGTTCTTACATGCCTATTTTCTTTATTTCTTAACTTTTGGACTCGTTCTTTCACAAACCATCACATATTTACATAGTTATAAGAGTTTATGACTTTAAATCACGTAAAAGAAGCAAATTTCTAATATTAAGGGTCAAAATCCTCAAAATGAAGCCATTTCAAGCCAAAATGGGTTCTTCCATGCCTTTTTTTCTTTATTTCATAACTTTTGAACTCATTCTTTCTCATACCATCCCATATTTACATATTTATAAGAGTTTATGACTTGAAATCACGTAAAATAAGCAAATTTCTAAGTTTATGGATCCATATCCTCAAAATGAAGCCATTTCAAGCCAAAATGGGTTCTTACATGCCTATTTAATTTATTTCTTAACTTTTGGACTCGTTCTTTCTCAAACCATCACATATTTACATAGTTATAAGAGTTTATGACTTTAAATCACGTAAAAGAAGCAAATTTCTAAGATTAAGGGTCGAAATCCTCAAAATGAAGCCATTTCAAGCCAAAATGGGTTCTTCCATGCCTTTTTTTCTTTATTTCATAACTTTTTAACTCATTCTTTCTCATACCATCCCGTATTTACATATTTATAAGAGTTTAAGACTTGAAATCACGTAAAATAAGAAAATTTCTAAGTTTATGGATCCATATCCTCAAAATGAAGCCATTTCAAGCAAAAATGGGTTCTTACATGCCTATTTAATTTATTTCTTAACTTTTGGACTTGTTCTTTCTCAAACCGTCACATATTCAAATAGTTATAAGAGTTTATGACTTGAAATCACGTAAAAGAAGCAAATTTCTAAGATTAAGGGTCGAAATCCTCAAAATGAAGTCATTTCAAGCCAAAATGGGTTCTTCCATGTCTATTTTCTATATTTCTTAACTTTTGGACACATTATTTCTCAAACCATCACATATTTACGTATTTATAAGAGTTTATGACTTGAATTCTTATAAAAGAAGCAAATTTACTAAGGTTATGGGTCCATATTCTCAAAATAAAACCATTTCTAGCCAAAATGGGTTTTTAATTTCCTATTTTCTTTATTTCTTAACTTTTGAACTCATTCTTTCTCAAACCATCCCATATTTAAATACTTATATGAGTTTATGGCATTAAATCACGTAAAAGAAGCAAATTTCTATGTTTATGGGTCCATATCGTCAAATTGAAGCCATTTGAAGCCAAAATGGGCTTTTAATTGCCTAATTTCTTTATTTCTTAACTTTTAAACTCATTCTTTCTCAAACCATCCCATATTTACATGTTTATAATATTTTATGACATGAAATCACGTAAAACAAACAAATTTCTAAGTTCATGGGTCCATATCCTCAAAATGAAGCCATCTCAAGCCAAAATAGGTTCTTCCATGCCTATTTTCTTTATTTCTTAATTTTTGGACTCATTCTATCTCAAACCATCCCATATTTAATTATTTATAAGAGTTTATGACTTGAAATCAAGTAAAATTTGAAAATTTCTAAGTTTATGGATCCATATCCTCAAAATGAAGCCATTTAAAGCCAAAATGGGTTCTTACATGCCTATTTAATTGATTTCTTAACTTTTGGACTGGTTCTTTCTCAAAACATCACATATTTA